GCGCGCCGGGAGCGCCCGCCCGCGCGTCCCCGCCGGGCCGGCTCCTAGCTGCCCTCGGGACCCGCTTGACATTCCGGAAAATATTGGCGACTGTCCAGAGGCCACCCAAAATGTCACTGGGATGGGACTGGAATTGAGATTCTAGAGTCCAGCGCTCTGGGGCAGTCTGCCTCGTCCCGCTCCCTAAGGCGGGGAGCATCTGGATGTCTGTGCAGGCGGCGCCCCTGGCTTGGGATCTCTGAGCTCAGTCTTGGGGTCAGCTGTCACTCGCCGGAGTAAAGAGCCGGCTTCTGATCACCGGTTAACTGGTTAACTGGACTGGAAACTTGGCTCTGCCGCTTCAAACTACAGTCTCCCGGCACGTGTTTCCTCGCTGGGATGGCTGTATCTATAGAAATGCCCTCTTCTGTGTGGCATTCCACTGTGTGGATCATAACAAACTTGAGAAGAATGGGAATTCCAGAAGACTTCATTGTGCTCACGCAGAACCTATAGGTGCATCAAGAGGCAGTTGTGGTGTAACCTTGTTCCGTGGCTTAACCTCAGGAGAGGTGTCAGGATCGTATCCTTTCACCATACTTATTCCATCTGTATGCCGAGCAAATCATCAGAGAAACTGCATGATTTGAAGAAGAATGCAGCATCAGGATTGGGGGAGGGCTTATTAACACCCTGTGATATGCAGATGACATGACCTCACTTGCTGAAAGTGTTAGTACTGCAAACACTTGAAGATCAAGGATTGCCGCCTTCTGTGTGGATTACAACTCATGGTAAGGAAGCAAGGTAACATCATGGTGAATGGAGAAAAGGTTGACGTTGTTAAGGATTTCGTCTGGCTTGCTTCCACCATCAGTGCTCATGAAAGCAGCAGTCAAGTGATCAAATGACAGAATGCATTGAGCAAATCTGCTGCACAAGACCTCTTTAAAATGGTGAAAAGCAAAGATACTACTTTGAGGACTAAGGTGTGTGTGCCTGACCCAAACATGGTATTTTCAGTTGCCCTATGTGCATGTGACAGTTGAACGCTGAACAAGGAAAACTGAAGAAAAACGGATACATTTGTACTATGGTGTACAAAGAATATTGAAAGTACCATGGAACCCTAGAAGGACAAATACATCTGTCTTGGAAGTAGTACAGCCAGAATGCTCCTTAGAGACAAAGATAGCAAGACTGCATTTTCATGTATTTTGGACATATTTCCATGAGAGACCAGGCCCTGGAGGAGAATAACATGCTTGGTAAAGCAGAGCGGCAGTTTAAATGAGGAAGGCCCGCAACAAGATAGATTGGCACAGTGGCTGCAACAATGGGCTCAAACATAAAAACATGGTGAGGGTGGCACAGGACCAGGCAGTGTTTCACTCTGTTGTACACAGGATTGCTATGAGTCAGGACTGACTGGACTGTGCCCAGCAACATTCTATGTGGTTGCTATGAAGATTTCAGGAGAAAATGCAAACATACTTAATATACTTGCTACAGCACTGGGTATATATTCCCTCTGTTGGCTGAGAGGATCCTTTGGTAGAATTAAAATGAGAACTGAAAAAGGGAATGATTTCTTTCTGTCACTATGAGAACTTAGGCCCCTCCAGACCAGCCTCCCACCTGGGAAAAGAGTGACAGATGTTAGACTCCATCTCCTCTGCTCTTTGAGACAAAGTTGATGTATCATAGTAAAGAACTCATCTCTCGCTCACTCTTGGTAGTAACTGGGTTGTACAAGCTATTTGTATACAAATTACTAGAGGCTAACAGTTTGAATCTATCCAGCTCCATGGAAGAAAACTGTGATCCAGTTACTGATTTCCTTCCATAAAGACTAACCTTCTCACTGCCATCAAGCGGATTCCTACTGAGAGTGATGCTGTGTGACAGAGTAGTACTGCCCCTCTGGATTTCAGAAATTAGACAGTCTTATGGAAGCAGCCAGCCTCATCTTCTTCCCAGGGAACAGCTGGTGGGTTCAAACAGCTGACCTTGCAGTTAGTAGCCACTAACTGTATAACCCACTACACTTCCAAGTGTCCTTCCCATTAGGATTACTGCCAAGGAAATAGTTATAATCTATTAATACTTGGGCTCACCATAAACCAGAATCAACTCAAGGGTGACGGGTACTGAGTTCTGACTAGATGCCTGTCATTGTTCTAAATTCCTGACTACTGTTATCTCATTCAAGAGCCCTGGTGGCACTGTGGGTTACATGAGCTGCTAACCATAAGGTCACTGGTTCAAATTCACCAGCTGTTCCTCGGGGAAAAAGAGAAAGCTGTCTGCTCACAAGATGTGGTCTCAGAAACCCTATATATGGTCACTGTAAGTTGGAATCAGCTTAATGGGAGTGGGTTTGGGTTTTAATGGTATGGTGAGTTACACATTGGACTATGGTTCAAACCCACTAGCTGCTCTGTGGGAAAAGATGAGGCTGTCTTGCTCTCCCATTGATAGAGTCTTGAAAACCTAGGGAGCAGTTTTCCTCTGTCTTACAGGGTCTCTCTGAGTTTGGATTGATTCTATGGCAGTAGGTTTGCTTAGCTCATTAAATCCTAATGATCTGTTATGAAATGCCATTGAGTTGGGCCCCAACTCCTGGTGACAGTGTGCACAGCAGGATTGGATGTGGCAGCCTGCTTTTTTTGTAACTGGATCACAGGGGAGCTCTGCTGAAACCGATGCAGCCTCAGAGCAGCACACAAACCTCCGCTGACTTGAGTGGTGGCTACCCGTAAGGTATTGGTTGGGAATCGAACCGAGGTCCCTCACAAGGAAGGTGAGAATCCTACCTCTGAACCACTGCTGCCCCATCCTTCTGACTCCTGCTCTCTGCTTTAGAGACGAGGTAACTGAGGCACAGGGAGGTTTCAGTCTATAACTCAACCCCCATGCTTCAGAGGACATCCCAATGTATGGGAATTAGCCATTCCCAATACATACTCCTTAGCCCCATACTCCCAAGAGCAGAATCCACCTATCCCTGCCCTTGCTGAACACTCCCAGTTTATATATATAAAATCTGGATTGACTCATTAACTATGACCAAACTACCATACTAATATGGAACTCATACCTTTGCAATAGTAGTGTCCAAGTGGTACAAGCAGTTTGCACATATTAAGTGAAAGGGGGGCAGTTTGCATCCACCCAGCACCTCTGTAAAAGCCATCTTGTTTTTAACAGGAAGTCCTAGGTGGCAACATAAGCTCAGACTCCATTTTTCCAACCGGGCTGATGCAGTCAAGAATCCCGTAATTTCTCTCCCTGTCCCCAGGGTCTCGTACAGTCTGTGCGGTGCAAAGGGTTTCTCTTTATACCTAGCCTTTCTGGCCACAGGTTTAAAGTTTTACCAAAAGGATTTACCAGGCCAGCCTTGCAAAAGGATTGGACAGTTTAGTATGCAAAGAAAGTACATGTAACCCCTGCAGAGATTGGTCAAGTACTAAACTTGTGACCTACCGTTTAGTCAATTTGTGGCCTTTATAGGAAGTGTAGGCTTATAAAGAAGTTAATCACAGAGGTTTTGGAGAGGGGTCTGGGGACACCACTACCATTAAGAGAATGGAGCACTTTGGGACCTGGGGTCCCTTTGAGGAGTACCTCCTAGACCCAAGCATTTTAATACTAGAGCCAGGCAATGCAAGATGACATGAGGAAAGTAAGAGTGGCACAAATGGAAGCAAGAATCAGACCAGCAGGAGATGGCTGCAGTGGGCTTTGGGGCCCACAAAGTGAGAGTTGAGCATCTTTAGGCACCAAGTACTTGTCAGCAGTGCTAGCGTTATTATACGTGGGGTGAGCATGGCTGAGTAGCTTGGCTTAGATTGATGAACTGATCCTATATTGTTCCCAGTACATCCAGGTTAGTCCTGATCCTAAATTGTAGCCTGTTATTTCCCTGGTAAAAAGGCTGGAGGTTTCTGATCTCCCTCCTCCTGAAGTTAGACTTCTGATGCTACTAGCTCATTGCAGCCAGATTAACCACCCTTAATCTGGGCTCTACTAATTTTAACCCAGCCCTCCCCCATAGCTGAAACAGAATGATCTTCCATTTCCATACCAGCTGTTTACCTCTGCTTCCAATGTCACTGTTGTCATGGAATGAAGTGTCCCCCCAAAAACATGTTGGCTTGGCTGGACCGTGATTCCCAGTGATTTGGCAGTTATGTAAGGATGTAATCAGCCCCCATGAGATGGTCTGGGGTGATCAGTCTGTCAGTTGTGAAGACAATTAGGATAGGATGCAACACCCTTATTCACGGCACAGCTCCAATTTGATGTAAAGGTGGCATCACCTTTCTTAAAAGATGAACTGATCTTAAGAGACAAAGGAGAGGAAATTAAACAGAGGGGGAGACTTACTACCAAGACAAAGAACCTGGCACAGAGCATAGCCTTTGGACCGGAGTAACTGCGCACTGAAATCCTCTTAAGACCCAGGGGAGACACACACCAGGCCCACAGTGAAGAGACAAAGCCTTCCCCTAGAACTAGCACCATGAATTCACTTCTCGCTTCCTGGGAGAAAATAAAATTAGTTTGCTAAAGCCATCCAATTATAGCAGCACTAGATAACGAAGGGTGAGATGCCCTGGTGGCATAGTGGCTCCACACTGGGCTGGCCCACGAGGTCAGCAGATCGAGATCAGACAGGACTTCCTTCTCTTGGAAACAGTCTCAGAAACTTCCAGGGACAGTGCTACCCTGACCTATGGGGTTGCTGTGAGTCAGCATCCACTTGACGGCAGTGTAAGTGAATTAATGAAGACTATGGCCCAATCCTCCTCCTCCTTCAAGCGCCTTGGTGAAAGCCCCTGCTACTGGTTGAAAACATCAGTGTCCTCCCCTCACCCACTCAAAGGCTATTCCCCAACACATGCAGCAGTCCTACGCTCCGTGCACACCTTCCCGCAACACCCATGACTGTCGACTCAGGAAAAGGGGGAGTGGGGCACCTCACCAGGGAGTTGGTGCAGAGGACCGGTATGGGTTGGAGGCCCCACGCAGTGTACTTGTTGGGTGGTTTGGTCAAGCACATCGCTAACAGAGGGAGGAAGGGAAGCCTACGGGTCCTGGATGACGATTCATCCTGCCCACTGGGAGCACTACCGTTCCCTAAAGAAGCATCTTGCCGTCGTCATATCCACCAGCTAAAGTAACGCTGTCTCAGACAAGAAGTCAATTGCTTTTACTGGGAAACCAATGTAACAAACCTAGACTTATTGAAAAGGAAATCAGTAACTGAGGTCCTGCAGGGCCACCCCCAGCCAGCACCAAGGCTGACTTGACCTGACCCCAGTTCCTCCGGAGTCCCCAAAACAAACCATGTGGAGAAGATGGGGGGTCAAAGCACTTCTCTACAATGCCCCCCCTTCCACTCTACCCTTAAGTGACACCCCCTCCCCCTACCTCCCCATGGATTGCAAGCTGGGCCAAAGGTGCAGGAGCCAACAGTCGAGGTTCCCACGGTGGCGGATCACAGCCTTGGCACTGCCACCAAACCTTGCCCCCCCCATCCCCACCCTGCCCCCATTAGCGAAGACAAGAAAGACTGGCTCGCCCCGCTCCCCCCAGACAGTAGGCCCACATCAATGATCAGTAACACTGTGATTCTGAGGTGTCAATGGGGCTCCTGGTGATTACTGCAGAGGGCCTAAAGTCCAGGGGAAGAGGTAGACCTTAGCCCCACCCCCGCTAAGTATCAGTCAGTCCGACTGCTGCCCTCAGTTTATGCCTGGGGTACCAGCAGCCCCTCTCCTCCAGAGCATCCGAGATTGGGAGAGTCCTCCTGCCAGAGAGAATTCCATTCCCAGCAGTCCCGCTCCCCCAGCAGGGGAGGAAGTTGGGCCAGCCAGGCCTGCGGTGGTTACACAAGCTTCTTGGCTTCAAAGAAACTCTTGAGGTGCCGCATCTGCCAGACGCCAATGGCCACGAGGATGAGGGTCTGCAGGATGGACCACCACAGCACCCGCTGGTTGGTGCTCTCACTGGTCAGTCGGAAGCGCTCTTCTCGCCACTGTGGGAGGGCAAGCAGAAGGGAGCCTGCGTGAGCTGTGCCCACACAAGGCTGCCAGAGCTAATGGGCTCCTGGCCCCGGAGGATGTCCAGGGCCGGCCAGCTCAGCTCAGGTTCTAGCCCCGTGGCTGCAGAGAGCTACAGCAACTGGGTAGTCAGGAGCCACCTGGGGCCTATTGCTGTGTTTCTCAAGTGTGAGACCCAGGCCCACCTCGTCCTGCCTGGGGCCTGAGGGAGAGGTCAAGGCGTTGTGCTCTCACCCCACCATGCTGTCCTAGAGCCCTCAGGAGCGGACATGCTTGGAGCCCTCTGCTTGAGTCTCCCAAACAGCACCTTGAAGACTGGGCACAGGTGGCAAACTGGTGGCCCAGGGGTGGGATCTGGCCTGTGTGTGCATTTTGTTTGGCTCACATGGTTTGAAATTTTCAAGTCACTGGCAGATTTAAAAACAAGGAAATTTTCTGCAAGGCACTGAATAGTAGGGACTGCCACTTAGATGGGTCCCTGTCCTACAGGTCCGTGTCACACGCTCAGTCATAGCATTTGCCTGGCTCTTGAGCACCAGTGGGTTTTAGATCCCTACC